TCATCCACACGCCGGCTCTCCTCTTGCCTTGCTTCTCATTCTCACAGCCTGCTTGACCCCAACCTCGCAAACACAAGTGGTATTCATTCGCCCAGGGATGCCAAGCCCCAACTTAAAAGTAACCTCAAGCCACCCTCAACTTTACGAGGGTTCGGCTGAGACTAGCGAACGCCTCTATGGGGGATCCCGTCTCCGCCATTCGTCCAAGCTGCCAAATTTGACTCAGCCGCACTGCGCCGGCCGCGATTAGAGGCACAACAATCTGGCAGTTTTTGACGAGGCCCCCCCAACTTGTGGACATGTCCGCTTGATAGCTTTGATAGCCACATAGCACCTCTGGGCGGACAATCTCGTATCCGAGTCAAAGTAAGCATTCGGGATGTCTGGACGATCTGGACCTTAAATCAGCCTTAGCCTGAGACCTTTATCTCGCTTGCTTGCAGGAGCTAGTACGCTAGAGAAACAACGTTAAACGAGCGTGACGAGCTGAGGTCACTAGTCTAGGCTGACAGGAATGCGGGGACGTGAGGGGAGGTGGAATAGGCAGACTCGGACTCAGGAATCATGCCTTGCGGTGGCAGGTGATGTCAGCCAGACTGAAAACTCCAAGTGAATATCAGTCAACCTCGATCATTTCTGATCCTCCGGATCGCCTCTGTGGAGACCGGCCAACTGCAGCCCGTCCTCCGGTGCCCCGCAACGGAGCCATCACACCCGGAACCCCTCCCCCATTTTCTCATTTTCCTTCATCGCCCTGAACGCCTTGAGCTGCTAATCAGGACCAAAGAAAAACGCCTCTAGTGTTTACTCTCATTTAACTATGTGAAAACGGAGCATGTCAAAAATCTGCAAGCGTGATAAACCCTGCAAGTCTAATTCATCCGCTGCCGTCCACGCTCCAGTCCTTTCCCACAAGTCTCTTCTGTACTCTGCTAGATCACTGGCCGTTACGTCTCAAAATAAGAAGAAGAAAAAAAAGAAAGACTTCAGTCCCTGTACAGAGTGTAAAACAGCTCACCAGTCAGGAAACAACCCTCCTCGTCTACCAAGGGTTCAGAAGGGCAGCAGCGCGCTAGCGACGCCCGTCGTGTTGTTCATCCCGCCCAATCTGTTTGAGGCACACGGTAGACCTGTAGCGTTTTGTCTAGACAAGGGAGCGACAAGCGATGGCAAGGGCAGGGGTTCGGAGCTTGTATTCAGCTCTAAATATCTTGTGCTCAGCCTGATCAACGGCTTTGTACTAGTGACTGACTATCTTGGACCAGACTCGACGCGACTCGACTCGACTCGACTCACTCCAGCCGCAGAGATTTCATGTTAGTCTACGCCCGCCTTACAATGCCAGTCATTCTTTCTTGAACTCGATCCAGCCAAGAATTACTTATACTACGAGCTAAGTCTCTTCAGTATCAATCAACCCTCGATCGGTTCCCTCTCTCTTTCGCTACCCAAAAAGCCTTTGAGCTTCAGGCGACCCTTATACCTCATACACAGATCATCACCATCAAATCAAAGAGCACCAACCATAACTCCCATCACAATGCTCCCCAAACCCATCCTCATAGTCCTCTCCGCCCTCGCCTCCCTCCCAAACCCAACCCACGCCGCCGACGACACCTCCCAAAAACCCCAAAACTACGACGCCCCATCCTCCCTCTCAATCACACCCTCTTACCTCTTCCCCGGCACGGGCGGCTCCGCAATCCCCCTCCTCAACCTCGGCGCGGCGGCGGCCGCAGCCTCCTGCTCCACCCTCGAGAAGCCCTGCGACAACGGCTGCATGCCCAGCACGGGATCCTGCTGCAACACCGGCACAGGCGGGTACTGCGAGCTCGGGAAATACTGCGTCTCGGGCGGGTGCTGCCAGAACGGCAAGACGTGTTCTGGAGCGCCGCAGGGGTGTAGTGCCGGTAAAGTGCTTTGCAACGGGCTATGTATCCCTTCTGGCAAGGTGTGTTGCTCGAGTGGGGGGTACTGCGATCCCGGGGAGACGTGTACTTCTGATGGGTTCTGTTCCAACTCCGGCGGTAGCGGCGGAGGGGGAGGGGGAGGGACTTCGTGCGGAACCGGGCAGACGTTGTGCGGGACCGGATGTATGCCTTCGGGACAGGTGTGTTGTCAGACGTATTACTGTCCCACCGGTGAGACGTGCGTGGGCAATAAGCAGTGTAATAAAGGAGGAGGTGGAGGAGGAGGTGGTGGTGGAGGGAGTCAATGTGCGGCTGGGCAGACACCGTGTGGTACTGGGTGTATGCCTTCTGGGGAAGTCTGCTGCCAGAGCTATTACTGTAACACCGGGGAGACATGCTTGGGAGACAAGAAGTGTGATAAAGGGGGAAGCGGTGGTGGCGGCGGCGGAGGAAGCCAGTGCGCAGCCGGTGAGACTCCCTGCGGGACGGGATGTATGCCGGCGGGTGAAGTCTGCTGCGACACATATTATTGCAACGCTGGGGAGACGTGTCTGGGGAACAAAAAATGCGACAAGGGCGGCGGTGGCGGAGGAGGCGGAGGTGGAGGAGGTGGAGGAAGCCAGTGCGCGAGCGGCGAGACTCCCTGCGGGACGGGATGTATGCCCGCCGGCAACGTGTGCTGCGAGACGTACTTTTGCAACACCGGCCTGACCTGTGTCGGGGACAAGAAATGCCAGGACCCCAACAGCGGCGGCGGCGGCGGAGGAGGTGGAGGCGGAGGAGACGATACCAGCGCAACGTCTAGTTTGCTCGCGACGCTTCCTTCCATCGACGGTGCGACGACGTCTCTGGGAGACTTTCCTCAGCCTACACAGACGTTGGGTGGCGGTGATGATGGACCAACGTCGGCGTCTGGCTCTTCTTCGCCGACAGCGACGAGGCCGGGGACTACAACGACTAGCCCGGCACCGGCGTCGACATCCTCCCGAGCTGCAGCATTCATGGGACGGTACGTCGATGGCTCCGTCTTGGTCGCGGGCCTGCTCGTCGCAGCGCCGCTGGTGATCTGAGAATAGGTTGGTGACAGTGTATATATATCAGGATTGGGCGAAACGCCGAATGAGTAATGCAAGTATGAATGAGGTATTATAGAGATTAATCTATAATCTGAATAAGATCACACCCCCATAATCGTGTGTCGCTCCCTAACGCCGAGACAATCTCCCCAAACGCCAAACTTTTTTTCGAGCCCATGTTGATGCAAGAAATGTCCAGGCGCCATTTGTAGTGCTACCCAAGCAATGCTGCCTACGCCCGTAAATGTGTCATGATAGTCCTACAGATATTTGGGCCTCATCCACTCAACGTTGCGAAGACCCAGGTTGAGCCCGTTACTAGCCCACCACTTCCGCACCAGCTCTTGGTCGCCGATGCTGTCCTCCAGTGCCTCTTCGATATCGCAGGTTCGGTATTCAACGCGATGTTTCCGCCCCTCCATCCCTTCAAGCTCGCCATATGCGAACTTGCGCCACCACTCCAAAACCCCAATGTGCTGGTGGATCGTCGGTTGAACAAGGACTTCGCCATCGAAAGCAAGCTTGTCGTCGCCCTTGAGCTTCCTCCAGAGTTCAAGGACCCCGACCTGGCCCCACCGCGAAGCCATCTTTGCCACAGCATCACCATTAGCTACAGGAATGCCAGAGGCCACCCACCAGCGGATGACATCAACCTGGCCGTGCTGGGCGGCCCACAACAACGATTTCCCAGGTCTGAGCACGATATTCTCATCCTGAGCGGCGGCATCGCGCCACCATTCGAGTACGAGAAGATGCCCCTTTCCACTGGCCTGCTCGAGAGCTGCTTCGGTGAAGCGGAGGGGCAAGCCGGAGCGACGCCACCACCAGTCGAGAACCTGGATATACCCGTTCTTGGATGCGCCGTCAAGGACTTCGGCATCATAGCACTGCTGGTGACGGCCACGGAAATATCGACTCTCCTTCCAATAGTCGAGGACGTCGGGGCGGCCAAAGTATGCCGACGCCTTGGTCGCGAGGACCTTGCCGTCAAAGGCCTGGAAGAGGTCAGGGCGGTTGGCCTCCATCCAGGCCAAGACTTCAATGAGCGAAAAGCGGATTAGAAGTTTAATAACAAGAGCCGGGAGTTCGTGGAAGGTGGGCGGTGATTGAAGCAGCTTCTTGCAAATGGATGTCGAGTCGCATGTAAGTACGAGCCACTCCAGCTCGTGTTCGTAGACCTTGAGCAGATCGTTGGCGTTCCTGGGCTGTAACTTCCAGGGATGTGGCATGGGTAGGTTGGTGAAAATCCCCAAAGCCTGTGCGAGCTCCCAGTCACCAGCAAAGTCGAGGATAATAGTCCAAATCTCGGGCGGCAAGTTGGAATAGACTCGCGGATCACCCGAGGCGAGATAGCCGAGGTGGGTGACAACGTCAACATCCCGACCCAGGCCAAGCAAGTCCGCTTGGTTTTTGATAATACCCAACACGTCATTGAAGCCGTTCCAGTTGACGATTCGCTTGGGGTGTTTGTGGGAGCTGTCGTAGTGCCAGAGTATAGGTGGCATAGCTCTTACCCAAGGCCATTTGCTATTGATTTTGTTCAACTGCCTTTTTGTGACTGGGTTCTCCCACATGTGCGTGCTCATTCCAGGGACGAGGAGCACCTTTTTCGCCGTATCCCAGCCGCGCAGGACTTCGAGAAGGAAAGTATCCGCGATCCCCACCATCATCTTGGCGATGGTGTCGGCGTCAATCGGGGCGAGAACGAGGAGATCGGCCCACTCGACTAGCTCGAATGCCTGCTGGCGGTAGAATTCGATGTCGTCAACGTCTGCTTCGGAGCCGGCGCGCGATGGACCTAGCGGCAGGGTCATGGATCGGTTCTGCAAGGTGATGACAGTTTGGCTTAGGCGGGGCACAGCATCGTCGACGATGGCGCGCATCTCAATGGCCGAACTCTTGGAGAGACGGACGACGAGAGCCTGTGCCCATGATATATCTCGGGGACCATTGGCAGCCACTAGCAGATGAAGTTTTCGGTCGCGCGGCTTGAAGTGGAGGGACGAGGACGAGGAGGCGCTCCTCGTTATACGGAGCGGTAAGGGGTCGGGGGGATCCATCGTGTCATGCTTTGGTGGCTATATTCGGGACGTATCGTGGTGATCGAGGCCTTTTCGTCGGCAGCCGGGCCGTAAAGGACTTTTCGGGTCGATCGACGGCGGACAAGAGTCGTCGGGCAACGGGCGCCGTCGTAGGAGTTCGGTCCGTGTTTTACCACCTTACGAAGAGATTGCGATCGGAGGTAGACTTTGATTTGATAAGGTTCAAGGATCGAGTTTGGGCGCAAGGAGAAATGCGCAGCAGTAAATCTTTGCCGTGCGCCGGTGAAGAAGGGCAAAGGTCGTGTCGTTCTTTGATCGACGGTCGTTGATAACAGGTCTCTCTGCTCAAGGACGGGAGTGGTTTAGCGGGTTTGAGATTTATCGGCGGTTGGTGGTGTGTTGTCAGTGACAGCGTTTGCGGTGTATGCAACGTCGCGTTGGGTAGGTCTGCAGTAGTGGTGTCTAGCGATTATCCGGGGTCCGTACGGTTCACGTTAGGTCGTGGATTAAACTAGGCGGGATGCGTGTGCAGGTATCCGATCCGCAGCGCAGCGCAACGAAAGGTAGCGTGAGGTTGCTGGCAAGTTAGACGATCGAATAGGCAGGATTCTGAGTTGTGGATGGCGGGCGGGAAGAAATGGACATGGATAGGTCGCAAGATGTGGCATCACCATGACATGGGTGCGAATTCCTTAATTCCACTCTCGGGACGAGGTGCATGCGGTGACGGACGGATCGAGTGACGACGAGACGGGGGGAACGCGGTGGGTGGTCCTCGCTTCGTCGGTGAACGGGAACAAGCAGGATTTGTCTGTAGACGTTAGGTGTTATTCAGAGCTTAGCTCTGAATTATCTCATTTCAGATTCGAACTAAAATCAGAATATTAGAAGTATTCGGCTCTACCATTGAGCTAATGAGACTTATTAGCTTTCACTTAACGGCTCAG